ACCAAAGGAGGCAAGACTATACAATGGAGAAAAGACAGTCACTTCAATAAGTGGTGCTGGGAAAACTGGAAAACTGCATGTAAAAGAGTAAAACAAGAACATTCTCTAACACCATACATAAAAAAGAACTCAAGGGGCTTCCCTGGTGGCGCAGCAGCTGAGAGTCCGCCTGCCGATGCAGGGGACATGGGTTCGTGCCCCGGTCCGGGAAGATCCCACATGCCGCGGAGCAGCTGGGCCCGTGAGCGATGCCCACTGAGCCTGCGCGTCCGGAGCCTGTGCTCCACAACGGGAGAAGCCACAACAGTGAGAGGCCTGCATACGGCAAAAAAAAAAAAACGGGGAAGATGATCTAAATTTGACAATCTCCAAAGAACACATAGAGATGAAAAAAAATCACATGAAAAGATGTTAAAATTCCTAATTATTACAGACATGAAAATCAAAACTACAATGAGGTATCACATACTACCAGGCAAAATGACCATCATCCAAGGTCAATAAGCAATACATGCTGAAGAGAGCATGGAGAAAAGGAAATCCTCCTAGGCTGTTGATGCAAATGTACCCCAGTAACAGCCACTATGGAGAACAATATAGAGGTTCCATAAAATATTAAGTTTGAGGGACCACATGATCCAGCAATCCCACTACTAGGTGTATATCTGGAAAAAACATATTTGAAAAGACACATACACTCCAAAAGTCATTGCACCACTATTTAAGATAGCAACGAAATGGAAGCAACCAAAATATCCATTGACAGAGGACTGGATAAAAAAGATGGGGAACATAAAAAGGTTATTACTCACCCATAAAAAGAATAATGCCATTTGCAGCAACATGGATGGACCTGAAGGTGACAATACTAAGTGAAATAAGCCAGACAGAGAAAGACAAATAGCATATGATATCACCTACAGGTGATATCTAAAACTTGATACAAATAACCAAATTTACAAAACAGAAACAGACTCGCAGACTTAGAAAACGAACATATGGTTACCAAAGGGGAAAGGTGGGGCTGGAGGAATACCTTAGGAGGTTGGGATTAACATCTGCATACTAATATCCATAAAACAGATCATCAACAAGGATCTACTGTCTAACACAGGGAATGCTACTCAACAATCTGAAAGAACTTATATAGGAAGGGTCCGAAAAAGAGTAGATATGTGTCTCTGTTTACCTGAATCAAGCTGCATAAAGCTAAAACAAACACAACACTGCAAAGCCACTATACTCCAATATAAACTAAATGTTAAATTAGAAAAAAAAACAAAAACAAAAACAAAATGCCTACAACATTGTCCTCGGGCCTTAGGACCCAGGCAGCTTCACATCCCTGGAGCCCGAGCAGCCTTGGTTTCCAAAGGCTGGATGTCATGGGGGTTAGGAAGCTGGGAAGGATGTGCCAGCAAATGAGCTCTCCTTGGACCTGCAGTGCCTGATCCCTTAGGGATGGACCACAATCTCCAGATCCACGATGGACCTCTGACAGCAAGGCCAAGCCTAGTGCAGCCAAAGGATGGTGGACCCTCTGGGCCAGAAGAGCTCTGAAAAGTCACCTGGTCCCCACGTCTCCTGGTGCTGGGGTTCCCACCTCCAACCTCCTTCCGCAGAGTCACCCCACCTACGGATGCCAGCACCCTCAGCATAGCGCTTTGGCAGGGATTGGGATTTGTCCCAGGGGGTGGAAGTATTGAGACACAAGTCCTTGGGTGTCTGTTCTGGCACATTCCACTCATTTAAAACCCAGCAGCAGGACTTTCCCTAAGCCTCTCATTGCCCAAGTAACCAGAGTTCGGCAACCAGAAATGCTGCTGCCTTGTTTCCTGGAATGACAACTTTAAAACCAGCGTTTATGGGCACTTCACATTCACAAGGCCTGTGAGGCTTAAATGAACAATGCCCTCTAGAAATGTAGTGTGGTAGGTGAATCGAAAGAGAATTCAAAACAGAGCCGAGGGCTTCCCTGGTGGCGCAGTGGTTGAGTCCGCCTGCCGATGCAAGGGACAAGTGTTCGTACCCCGGTCTGGGAAGATCCCACATGCCGCGGAGCGGCTGGGCCCATGAGCCATGGCTGCTGAGCCTGCGCATCCGGAGCCTGTGCTCTGCAACGGGAGAGGCCCCGACAGCGAGAGGCCCGCGTACCGCAAAAAAAAAAAAAAGAGAGCCGACTTTCAATAAGCCCATTTCAGGAGGTAAATATTACTCACGAGGTTTTTTCTTGTTTTGTTTTGTTTTGTTTTTTAAAGCACATGAAAAGATGCTTAACATCGCTCATTATCACAGCACATCAAAACTACAAGGAGGTATTACCTCGTACCAGTTACAATGGACATCATTAAAAAGTCAACAAACAGCAAATCCACGTACAGAAAAGGAACGCTCCTATGCTGTTGGTGGGAACATAAACTGGTAACAGCCACTATGCAGATCAGTATGAAGGTTCCTTAAAAAACTAAAATAAATCTACCATATGATCCAGCAATCCCACTCCTGGGCATATATCCAGAGAAAACCGTACTTTGGAAAGACACATGCACCCCAACGTTCATTGCAGGGCTATTTTCAACAGCCAAGTTGTGGAAGCCACCAAATTGTCCACCAGCAGATGAATGCATAAAGATGTGGTACATGTATACAAGGGAATATTAGCCATAAAAAAGAATGAAACAACACCATTTGCAGCAACTGGCTGGACCTGGCAATAATCACATCAAGTGAAGTAGCCAGACACAGAAAGACAAATGTCATCTGATATAGCCTGAAGGTAGAGTCTAAGGGTGAAAATGATACAAATGAACTTATTTGCAAAACAGAAACATACTCACAGACTTTGAACGCCAACTTACAGCTGCCGGGGGTGGGTGGAAACATGGCTGGTAGGGATAAATTAGGAGTTCACAATTAACATATACCCACTAGTATATAAAACAGATAATCAACAAGGACCTTCTGTTTAGCACAGGGAACTGTACTCGACATTTAGGTAATACCCTAAATGGGAAAAGAATTTGAAAAAGAATAGATACATGTGTATGTACAACTGAATCACTTAGCTGTACATCTGAAACTAACACCACACTGTATATCAACTATACTCCAATATAAAATAAAAATTAAAATAAAAAGCAAAGAAAAATAAAGAACGCCTGCCTTTAAAAAAAAAAAAGCAAGCTTACACTTCATTAAAGAATTCAGCTCCCACCCCCCAACTTCCTTTTCTGCCTCATTATTCCTCAAAGCACCAATCATCTTTCAGTATCCCACATCATTTTCTTATCTGTTTATTGTCTCACTTCCATTAAACCGAAGGCCCAATGAGGCCCGGCTATCTTTCTGCCTTTTTTTTTTTTTTTTTTTTTTTTTTGTGGTATGCGGGCCTCTCACTGTTGTGGCCTCTCCTGTTGCGGAGCACAGGCTCCAGACGTGCAGGCTATGGCTCACAGGCCCAGCCGCTCCTGGACCGGGGCACGAACCCGTGTCCCCTGCATCGGCAGGCGGACTCTCAACCACTGCGCCACCAGGGAAGCCCTTGTCTTTCTGCTTTTTCATGGCTCTATCTCTAGCACCTAGAATAGTGGAGTTTAAGAACAACTGGCCTGGTGAGTTCTCAGAAATTGAACCCAGTTTCTTCAATATCTCCAAATCATCAGAGTTCAGAGATGTATTTCCACCTTCATGTGGTCACTCACTTTCCTGTTTGAAATGAAAGAAAACTAAAGACACCATTACTACTTCTGTATTTTTAGAAACTGTGGCCCAAAAACCAGGAAGGAATTTTTACCAAACAGGTAACCTACCCATCTTGGCCTCCTACCCTAAACCCTTCTCACAGCTTGACTCCATGTTTCTCTTCATCCCAGGTTCTCCAGAAGACATAAAATTTTCTTGTTCCTCCCATCCACAAAGTTGAAACATACACTAAGGTTTTATCTATTAATATTCTGACTCATTCCTTTTTTTTTTTTTTTTTTTAGACTAGGCTAAGCAATGGAAGGTAAAACCAAAAGAAAATCACTAGATCCTGAATTACAGAAAACCATAATAGATATAAAAATAATTCATAAGTATGCAATATATCCCCCCGTATCCCCTGCATCGGCAGGCGGACTCCCAACCACTGCGCCACCAGGGAGGCCCTGTTCTGACTCATTCTTAAACAGTGCTGAGAAAATATTATTCATGTTCCTCAATTCTGTTAACTAGGATTAATACTATGAACATTCCCTAGCATCAAAGTGACAATATGGGTCTTTGGGGTTTTTTTAAATCTCACATCCTTTAAAGAAAAATGGACACGCTTACTAAGGTAAACGATCTAACACCACCACCACTGAGCCAGCAACTCCCTGCTGAAGTGAAATCTCACTCATCTCATAAACCATAGGCCAAAGGTTAATAGTCTCATCCTAAGTATAACTAGCATATTGAAAAGCCCAGTAACCTATTCCCAATTTTTAAAGGAGTGGAAGGTTATCTAACGATTTCTTTTATAACTTCAGCTGCTTTTTCCAAGGATGAAGAGCCAAGCGCTCCAGGCTTAACCCTTATAACTCATATTCCAAAACACAGGTTACTACTTTCTAGAACATGCCATGCACTTTCTCACCTCTGTGACCTTCCTCACACCCATCATCCACCTGGAAAACCACTGCCAAATAGTTTTTATCTTTCTAGGCCCAGCTCAAATATCATCTCCTCTGTAAAGCCATTTCCAATCCCACCAGTCAGAATTAATTGCATCCTTTCCTATATTTTTAAGACATCCGTTCCTACTTCTAGTTGCCACTGGATCAGAGCTGGTTATTCACACATGTACTGTGCTGCTCACCTGTGAACTTGAAGGCACCTTATTCATGTCATCTCCCCAGAACCTTATCATACAAAAAGGCTGAATTAGCTAACTGGAGTGTCATAATACAATTCACAGCAACGTTAAGTAATACATATATTAAGAGCAAATGCGCAGCACTCAAAAAGCCAGATGCTACCTCTTTGGAGCATGGAACGCTGCTGTGATCTTTTTCCATCATCAGCCATCTGAGAACATTTGGAATAGAGGGATTTTTCCATGTTGGCCAAGGGTTAACAAATCTCCCATCCTTTCCTTTCTTTGATTTAGTTACATCTTCTTCTAGTCTGTAATCCAGTTTGAAACTCTTCCTGGAAAACCTAGAAGAATCACTTCCTCCAGAATTCCGTGAATTTTGGCGCTTTCTTACTGCTTCTTTAGGATATTGGCAACTTGTCCTCAGGGACTGGTTGCTTTCATTTTCATCCATGTCCTTTCGTGAAGAGCTAAAAAAAGGGGGAGGGGGAATATACTGAGTTTAACATACAGACATTGAAACATACACGTAGTATTATTTCTTAACCAATAAAAATTTCCTCAAACTTATAACAATGTCTCTATTAGGCTCAAACTTTCTTCCTGCAAAATACAATTTTAGAATGCAGGATTACTGCTTGCTAAATAGAAAAGGTGTTTGCTTTACTTATTACTGCCAAACCTTTAAAAAATTCCTTATGTGGGGCTTCCCTGGTGGCGCAGTGGTTGAGAGTCCACCTGCCGATGCAAGGGACATGGGTTCGTGCCCCAGTCTGGGAAGATCCCACATGCCTCAGAGCGGCTGGGCCCGTGAGTCATGGCCACTGAGCCTGCGCGTCCGGAGCCTGCGCTCCGCAACGGGAGAGGCCACAACAGTGAGAGGCCCGCGTACCGCAAAAAAAAAAAAAAAAATTCCTTATGTGCTATAATTCAAAACAAATCTACTCTACCAGCCAGCATTTAAACATATGAAAATTTTCCATTTCAATGACATTCTGTAGAAAAAAGCACCTTCATGAATCTGTAATACTTTCATACCTTCGTTTTAAAGTATTATTGTTAATAACATAATAAGGATCGTCTTAGTTCCTCCAAGATACTTCAGTAATTCAAATGACTTACATACAACCCCATTAGGCCTAGTTATTTTTACTTTGTAGACAATCTGTTACTAATGCCCCCCAAAAAGTACAATGAGTCCAAATCCCCAGAAAGGAGATGCACATTAGTTGAGAAACATTTCAATAATGTATTTAAGTGGTTAACAATACAAATTTGAATTAACTCAGATGTAGAACTGCGCATGTAACCTAGCTCTGTGACCTTAGGCAAGTGTCCTATCCTCTCTGTGCCTTGATTTCTTCATCTGTAAAATGGAGATAATAATACTACCTGCCTCCAAAGGGTTATTGAGAGGACTGAAAAAGCAAATGCAAGTAAAGCACTAAGAACACGTATGTAAAATGTATATAGCAAATGTAACATACATGAATGCACATCGTCACATGCATCATATACATCAGCTCAACAAACGTGAGGGGTTGCTGCTGCCCTTTTCTTTACTGCTCCTACGCCCACGTACACCACTTAACTCAAGGCACTGAAATCCTTGCTTTTGAACTATACAGGATTCCAGCCACATGAAAGTGAGAAACAGTGCAGTAAGAATATACATTCTTCTTCCATGAATTTCATCTCTTTCCTATTCTGTTAAACTAAACAGAAAGCAAACGTTTGTTTAAGTGTATTGTGTATACACAATACTCTTTATAACCCCAAGAAAAATAAGCACAATAACAGAGAAACAAGTATTATTTTTTGACTACAGAGCTGTTTAAATAGAAATATTACCCAGGAAGAAAGGGAAATAACTCAAACCCCAGGATGAAGTGCACATACACGTACACTCAACCAGAACTTTTTTTCCCCCAAACTTTCTAGAGTAAATAGTCTATGATCTGGAGAAAAACAGGTGTTAAAAAACCACAGCTCACAAAAGCTAAGCACCCACTGCTGCTTAGGCACAGCTGTTAGTGGGACAGCCTGACAGCTAAGGCAGTCTAACTAGTTTTATGTCTTGGGCAAATGACTTAACCTTTCTAGTCCTCAACTGTCTCATCTGTAAAATACCTACTTATCTTAAGTGGGGTTTCAAAGGATTCAAGGACATAATAATGTATGTAAAATGCTTGCCACTCACCCAAGGGCTAATTCTTTTTTCCCTAAACCATCTAAATTAAATTCTATTAGAAAGCAATGGATCTGGGAGAGTTATCTCAGTTCCTCTTATAGAATGGCTTTACCTGGGTCACAATTACATTCAGGCCGAGGCCTTCAAAGACCAGCCATTTAAACCTTACTTCACTTAACAGATGAAAATACACAGGTTTAAAGAGTTTAAGTCCCTTCTGGACAAGATAATGTTCGATGGCAGAGCTGACCTCACGCCGCCCCTTGTGATGATAAAGTTTGTGAGATTGTTTGCATTTGTTACACACAGACATAAATATTCATATACATATAAACACACATATGTAATAATTCTACCAAATATATAATAAAGTATTGGCTCATTGTTTTAAACAATCAAGAAATAAGGGGGAAAAAAGAAAAGGGCACTCTGATTCAAAACCACACCAAAAAGTCAATGCAGGGTTTTCAGACAACATCTAGTTGTCTAGTGTACCTGGGACATAAGAAGCAAGAGAGGCTTGTGAGAGTCGAGGTGGATACCCCAGCTGCAACACACACAAAATCCAGACTTCAGGAGTGAGCTTTTTACAGGCAAATCTGATTTAAAAAAAAAAGGAGGGGGGGGGAACCTCCAGAGGATGCCCTTTACTCTCAGAATGAGGGCAAAGGTCAGTAAGATGGTCCATGAGGGTGTGTATTTCTAGCCCCGCCCACACTCTCCTCTGTTCCAAACACAGGCCCTTCATCTATTTCTTCAAATGCATCATGCTCCCGCCTCAGGGCCACCTTGCCATCACAGGGCTTTTGCACATGATTTTTTAAAATATCCTTGGGGTGGGAGGAGGGACTAGCAATACGCACATCGATACTAACAGGATTATGTATGACCACAAAATTTGTTCAGAACAACACAAAATGCTGGCACTATGATGCACCATTTCACACTATGCACTCTAAGTGTGAGATGATGGGAAGGAACCAGAAAGACATAACCTGAACTGTGACAACCTGGACTCATTCTTTTGGAGGAAAAGTACGAGAACTCTGGCTGGTGAATGTGCACAATGATGGGCTCTGTCAACAGGTGGTCCCGTGACCAAGGGAGCATCAGCTCGTGGAGACGTACCAAGCCTGCCTGAGGGCTGGGTCATGAGAAGGCTCCGCATCAAACATCACTCTTCTGGTCACTCCGTAGTGGATACAGCAACAATCTCACAAAGGTCATCCTTAAATACCAAAGATAAAATGACAGGAAAACTAGAACTAAGGAAGACTGGATCCTGCTACGTTAACTAGCTTTCAGCTTTGCAGATTCAGAAAACATGTCTAGCTTAACATATCAAGGCTGGTGTTTCCTTATTTAAATGTGGCAGATTTCCCAATTATTTCTTGTCATGTATCTGTCTCCAAAGTTAACAACGTTAAATGAAAACTCTGCCTTGACTTCAGGCCAACACTAAGCGCGAGGGGAGGGGCATACTCATGATTACAAGTACACTATCCATAAACTGTGTTTCAAAAGGAGGTTCAAAACTTGATGAAGATCTTTACGTTATACTGATTTTCATCCAATTTAAGACACCATGAATTTATAAGGCAGTTATTTTATGTGCCACTAAGTTAAAATGTTATCAACTATAATTATGTCATGTACTGTATGATTCATCCTGATATGGGTTGGTGTTAAAATCGGAATAAAATGTCTGTCTTAAAACTGATGAAATACACCGTTTTATAGTGTGCTCCTAGGTACTATATATTAAGTTTCTGTTTGCTTTGCTTTCCTTTAGCTTTTTAGCAAAACTGGTTCAGTCAATAAACTGAGTTAAAAATGAAATTCACGGAAAAACAAAGCAGTATTTTCTTTGCCGATGCATGCTGTGCACGTAACTCCCACAGAACATTCTCTCTTTTATTTATTATCCAGTGTACTTCCCATGCTTGGGACACATCTGCCCTCCCATCAGTCTCCTAAATGCCTGTGGGGTTAACACCATTCTCAAGGGAAATCTGTACTGCATGCGAAGGGAGGGGAGGACAGTTTAATTTTAACCTGCAAAGCCCTGTGCAGATATTTCAATGAACTGAAATAGTTTCATTAGCTATGTAATCTAGCAGTGTATTAAAACGACCCTTTTCTTTACTAAATATAGGAGAGCAAATATTAAATTGTGAATTCATAGGCAGGAGACAAGATGGCGGAGCAGAAGGACTTGAGCTCATCTCCTCTCATGAAAACACCAAAATCACAACTCACTGCTGAACCACCATTGACAAAAAGACTCGAACCTACAAAAAGATATTCTATACCCAAAGACAAAGAAGCAGCCACAACAAGACGGTAGGAGGGGTGCTTTCACCATATAATCAAATCCCATACCCGCCAGGTGGGCAACCCAAACTGGAAAATTACTGTATCACAGAGGGTCTTCAACAGAAGAGAGAGCTCTAAGCCCCATGTCAGGTTCCCCAGCCTGGGGGTCTGGCATCGGCAGGAGGAGCCCCCAGAGCATTTGGCTTTGAAGGCCAGTGGGGCTTGAGTGCAGGAGCCACACACTCCCGGGGGAAACAGAGACTCTACTCTTCGAGGGTGCACACAAGGTTTCATGTGCACTGGGACCCACGGCAAAGCAGTGACTCCATAGAAGCCTGGGCCAGACCTACCTGCGGGTCTTGGAGGGTCTCCTGGGGAGACGGGGTCGGCTGTGGCTCACTGTGAGGGCAAGGACACTGGTGACGGAGGCCCCAGGAAATATTCAACAGCGTGAGCTCCCGTGGAGGTCGCCATTTTGGCACAGAGACCCGGCCCCAGCAACAGCCTGCAGAATCCAGCGCTGGGATGCCTCAGGCCAAACAACCAATAGGGTGGGAACACAGCCCCACCCATCAGCAGACGGGCAGCTTAAAGTCGTCCTGACCCCACAGCCGCCTATAAACACATCCCTTGACACAGCCCTGCCGGCCAGAGGGACTTAGACCCAGCTCCAACCACCAGCAGGTAGGCACCAGTCTCTCCCACCAGGAAGCCTGCACAAGCCCCTGGACCAACTTCACCCACCAGAGGGCAGACACCAGAAGCAAGAAGAACTACAATCCAGATCATCCAGACAGAAAATCAATAAGGAAACAGAGGGCTTCAACGACACAATCGACCAATGGACTTAATTGATACTTATAGAACATTCCATCCAAATGCAGCAGAATACACATTCTTGAGTACACATGGAACATTCTCCAGGATTGATCACATGCTGGGCCACAAAGTGAGCCTCAGTAA